TCCCTACAAATTATATTTTTATGGAACGGGCACAGGCTGCATTCACAGTTTATAGCTTGTACTTCTCTCTCTGTGTGTTTTTTTCTTTTTTCTTAAACAAAATCTAGGCATTAACTCTATTTAAGGGTGCAAATCCCAGTTGTTTTCACACTTAACATCAGTGATGTACAAGTAAAAGCTTTCATCTGATGTCTGCAGTTAACAGCGAAAGAGGCGTGCGTCTCCTCGGTGCCCGCGGTCACTGCCCACAGCACTCTCTTAAAGGCAACCGCGTCCAAGATGCCCAGGATTATGGGATGCGCTCCAAACCGGCCAGACCACGTGCTTACCAGGCATCAGATGCATAATGAAAAACGTATCGCCTTTTGCCCCTCTGACATTAGATACAGTACCTCTCACCACACCTCACGGGTGTTGATGACATAATGTGTGCCCATGTTTAAGAGCATGCCAAATGCCAACGACATGTATGTAACCCTGGGCATGTAACAATGTTCTCAGCTTGGCGAGTACAGTCATTTTTATGGCCCTGTATTTATGTGCAAATTGAGAACTGCCTGTTTTTTTTTTTAAATGAATAGATATAGACTTCATGCAAGAGTAAGCCGGGCCAGTGCGGCTCAGTGGTTGAGCCTCGACCTGTGAACCAGGAGGGTTCGATTCCCAGTCAGGGTACATGCTCTGGTTGTGGGCTCGATCCCCAGGAGGGGGCGTGCAGGAGGCAGCCGCTCCATGATTCTCTCTCATCATTGATGTTTCTATCTCTCTCTCCGTCTGCCTTCCTCTTTCTGAAATAAAAAAAAAATATAGATTTTAAGAAAAGAGTAAAAATAGGGGCTTTTTGTTGTGTTGTTGTTAATCCTCACCCGGAGATATTTTTCCATTGACCTTTTAGAGAGAGTGGAAGAGAGAGGGAAAGACGGAAACACATATCGATGTGAGAGAAACACATCGATTAGTTACCTCCTGCACAAGCCTTGACCAGGGCCCGAGCTGGAGAGGAGCCTGCAAGTGAGATATGTGCCCCTGACCGAATTGA